CGATCCGCGGCTCCATCCCTCCCGATGGCGCTGCCCGGCGCTCGCCTCCCCTCTGACGCACTTTAAAGAGTCTCCCCCTTCAACCTCAAGGCGAGTAATAGCGACCAATCATCAAGCCATTTACCAGGCTTCAGAGGAAGCTGTTTATGTGATCCCAGCACTAATTAGGCTCATGAACTAACAAATCGTTTGCACAACTTGTGAAGGGGCCGATCACATCCATGGATTGTCTTTGGACTTAGGGGGGGAGGGGGGGACGACCGCCTTTTCCTTGCAGGAGGGAAACTTCTCCCAGCAACTTTTTTTGTGTGTGTGTGCGTGGTGCGTGTGTGTCTCCCTTTTGGGTACCGCTGGCTGCCGCTGCCTCCTTTTCCTCCAGCCCCTGTCTATTTATGTGTGTATCTATCCCTCCTCAAGTCACTCCCTGCTGCAAACTTCCCCGGATCGTCTCCCGCGCACCAGAGAGAGACGGGCAGAGATTGGGTCGGGGATTCTCGTCGCGGCAGCATGTTTCAGCCCACACCCAAGCGGTGTTTCACCATCGAGTCGCTGGTGGCCAAAGACAGCCCCTTGCCCGCGTCTCGCTCCGAGGATCCTATCCGGCCGGCGGCGCTCAGCTATGCCAATTCCAGCCCGATGAACCCTTTTCTCAACGGCTTCCACTCCACTGGCAGGGGGGTCTACTCCAACCCGGACTTGGTTTTTGCAGAGGCCGTCTCCCACCCGCCTAACCCGGCCGTGCCGGTCCATCCCGTGCCCCCTCCTCACGCCCTGGCCGCCCACCCGCTGCCTGCTTCGCACTCCACGCACCCGCTCTTCGCCTCGCAGCAAAGGGACCCCTCCACCTTCTACCCGTGGCTAATACACCGCTACCGGTATCTGGGCCACAGGTTTCAAGGTACGTGCAACTTTTCTTTTCCCTCCGATCCACTCTCCCTCCGATCCACCCTCCCGGAGCTCCCGGCCGGCCCCGCCGTGCGGATTTTGGGGGACTGCGGTGGGCGGGCGACCCTTGCCCGGAACCGCGGGCTCGGCTCGACCGGGCCCGGGGTCTTTTGTCCCTGTCTCCCCCTCCGCCAAACTTGATGAGCTGTCAGAGACGAGGGGCTTGGGCTTCGTTTTGTTTTGCTGCTTTTTCCCGGTTTGTTTTGGTTTCTCGTGAAGAGGGGGGCAAACGGGAAGGCAAGGCCGGCTGGGACTTCGTCAGCTTTCTGCCCCCATTAAAAGCAGGGGAAAAGGTGGATATTTTTTGTTCCGGTGTGTTAAAAGCTAGAGAAGGAAGCGGCCCCGCAGAGCGGGGAATGGAGAGGTGCTGAGGCTGAGGTTCCCCCGGGAAGGCGGCGGTGCCCGCCGGGCTGCGGGGCCGAGCTGCGGGGCCGCAGGAAGCCCCCGCCACCGCCCCAAGTCCGACCGCTGCCCTTGCTGGAGGGGGAGAAATGAAGCGAATCTCAGAGAAAGGAGAAGGGGAATGTGAGGGGGGAAATAATCCCAGCGCCGGAGCAGCACGGGGAGATGGGGCTGCGGAGGACAGCCGGGGAAGGCGCAGGGAGGGCGATCCCGACCGTGTGGGCAGCGAGGGGCTCCAAATGCACGGCGATTAATACCCGGCTGAAGGGAAATAACCGAATCCAATGGCGGACAATCAATAAAATCCCCCTTGTTTAACCCTTTATAACCAGCAGCGTCTTCCCCGAAGGGTGAGCTGATTTCTCCTGTAATGGATCCAGCTCCTGCCTCTTTCGTTATAGACAAACCAAACAACAAACAAACAAAAAAATCAGCCTCCACTCGGAGGGATCTATCTGCTTTTTTTTTTTTCCTTGTATTTTTATTTATTATTTCGGAACGAAAACAAACCACCTGCATGTTGCATTTTCCCCGGCCTTCTGCAGCCGGGCCGCTGCAGCCGGGTTGGAAAAGGAGCCACTCTCTCTGAACCCAGGCGGTCTGAGACAAAATGGATTATTACCCTCTGAGAATAAAATTACAGGTTTCACTCACCAAATTATTTGTCGCAGCCACCAGGCGATTGGTAACGAGGGCTAGATGAAAGGCGGAAATGTCCTGGTGTTGAGCCACAGTCTGATTTCAAACACACCCTCCTTCTCCAACGATTTTTAATGCACTTACAGCGAGAGCCCCTCGGTGCCTTTCCCACCTTGGAAGGGCCGACCCTGAGGAGCGGCACAGGGACACCCTGGAGGGAGATGCCCACCGAAAAACCCCAACTAACCCACCCCCCGCTCCTTCCCCCGCTCCGATGCGGGCCGGCAGGGATGGGATGGGATGGGATGAGATGGGATGGCCGCTCTATGGCCTCCCCGAAGTTTGGCTCTTTATTTCCACGCCGGTTCCCGTCGCCGCCGAGGCAGCGTGGAGTGGGCAGTGGGCCGGGAACGGCGGCGGTGGGAGCCCCGCTCCGGGCAACACACCGGCAGGACGGAGGGAAGCAGAGGGAGAAAGGCCCCGGCCGAAGTTTTGGGGGAGGGAAGCG